GTTCTCTTTTTAAATATTACTATGATATTAATGTGACCATTTTATTTCTATTGTAATAGAAATATATTCTGTTTATTTGGTTTAATTATCTTATTATGTTAAGGTTATTGTTATTTAGCTAAATTAGTAATTGAGTGTTTTATTTTAGTTATTATTTTTATTTAAGTAGATTTATTCTCCTATTACAATGTAAATAGTGAAAACTAGATAATTGTATGAAATTAATTCATTATTTAGTAATATTTCCTCCAAAAAAATGTTTAAACCAGATATTAGAATAAAATTTTGAACTAGGTTAGGTAAGTTATTTTTCTATAAATACCAAGCTTCTGTGTTGATAGGAAAATATATCTATAAACCAAACCATAGTTCTTAATATCTTGAATAGACTTTAAATATTTATCAACAATCTATTTTATTATTATTATTATTATTATGTACTAATAATACATACTGTTACAGTCATGCAATATTACGTTTATATATATATTTTTCTAATCTCTAATTAAACACATTATAAATTAATTGCAAACATTTTGTACTAATATGAAATATTAGGTTGCTACTTTTATAATCTAGAATAATTTTTCTTTTTTTTCTATTACGCTATGTGTCGGCATTAATATTGTTTTAGTGGACTAAACTTATATATAATTATTAATTAGAGTTTTGAAATTGGATACAAGTGTTTAAGAAAAATTGCAAACAATTAATGAACATAATATTGTAGTTTCATCTAATTTATATCAAGTTAAAAATCCGTACCGAAGGGAAGTAAGGTTAAAAGATAATTTTGACAACAATAACTGATGTTATTGTTGTTTTTAAGATGATGATTATCAGTCTCTCATAGTTGTAATACTTTAAATTTTGTGATTTTCCAAACTCCATATTTTTATATTAATGTTAATATTTTTACTAAATCATATATTATAAAATACAAATGTATGAATGTGAAAATGATGTATAATCAATAATACAGCATTAAAAACCATATGCATAAAACTTGTGTAATTTTAGTGTTCAGATATTTTAATGAATTTTGAAATGAAACTACTGTGTTCAATATAGAGAATCATATATTAATAATGCGGATTATAATAAAGTTACTTTAAAAGGCTGTACTGTAGCCTATTATCAAGTGCCAGTTAAATGGTGTTGATTTAATGTATAATTATTGATAATAAATGATTGTTTTTATTACAAATTATTTCTATAAATTACACATGATATATATACTGTTGCTTAATATTTTGAGAAAATCAAATTCTGAAGATTAAAAATTGAACTAATTACTATGTAAATTATTACAGAATACTGAATTATAATTATATTAATTAGTATGTTTGTACTTCTGGTTCCTTGTTAACTTTCATAATTTCTATATGCTATTTGATAGTCATAAGACATTTACCCCTGAGCAAAAATATGTATCTGGTGTGACAGTGTTCAAGGAATATTGAAGTATTAAATAAAACTTCCAAATCGAAGACACTGATTTAAAATGTCTTGACTTCTATGTGTGTTGTGTTTTGATTCACAGATTCACAGAGCATAATTGCATTAAGGGTAATCGATACCAGATTTTCTGATTGAGTCTAACACATACGACAGGATTTTAGCCATATTATTTGACTAACGAACCAATTGATATGGTTAAGCGATAAAGTTCTCAAAATTATCTCGATTTTTTATACCGTCTACTTGGAATTGACTATCCCACAAGAAAAATTCAAGAATTTGGAGGATAATATCAAACATTTGGGAAAGTTGATCTTAAATAGTCTTGACATTAAATTCAAATCTATTCTTATTCTCTTAGAATTTTATCTATAAAATCGTATTAAATCAATTATTACATTTATAAAAAATAAAATAACACATCTAAAATTCTATGCTGCCCGTGTATTAGACTTGGACAGAAAATCATAGTACTAATCAAATACCATATAATCAAATGCTCTATTGTCTCACAGGCGGATGAACCAAATTGTGTTAGGTATATATTGATACCTCAAAAGTATATGTTCTTAAAGGTGTGAAAACTATAATTCTTAGAATTTGTTTTATTTTTAAAATTTTGAATTTCTCTCATGTTTTCAAAGCTTAACAAATTTAAAAATAGTTTTTTCTAGTATATTATTAAAAGTAACTATAAAATGGGCAGTTTTTTTTTGAATTTGTGGTAACTTGGAGCCTTTATATAGTTCATTAATTCATGATATCAAGGCAAAAAAATATTCCACTTTTTCAATTAGTGTTGCCAAATATCTAATCTATTAATCAGCATAAATGCCTGTAGCTTGTAGGTGAATAATACATGCACCTTATTTTTTTTTTTTTTTCGTTTTAACCGACGAAGCCGCGGGATCTGCTTTCGCATTGCTTCCGCGGCGCCGCCATCGTTTATTGACAGTATCAAATATTAATACATACGTGGGAGGCAGAC